CCACGGCCGCCATCGCCACGGTGTATTCCAGGGCCCTTCACGCGGCTGGGTTGGTTGCGGTTGACGTCTGCCAGGCCTTTTTTCCTGGTCTGCCTGAGTCTGGATGAGCTCCTGGAATCTGGCAGATAGCAGGCTGGGCAGGGGCTACACCGGAAGAAGCTGGGCGGGGCGCCTACGCTTGTGGTGGTGTCCAGCTCCCCCTGTCCTCCACCTAGGGAAGGCTTCTTGAAGCACAATGTCGTGCTGTTCCTGTCCCTCCTGCTGAATGACCCCCAGCTGCTCTGCCGCCTGAACCTGCACCAGGCCTACAAGCACCTGGCCCAGCTGCCCCAAGGTAGGCCGTGGTCACCCCTGGCCCTGCGTTCGGCCCTCACACGTCACTCTGCAGTCCGTTGCTCTCCACTTTTGTCCTGGGCGGCGGATCAGGGTACAAAGGAGGCCTGTCGCAAAGGCAAGGACCCAGGCCTGCTAGTAGGTGGGGAAATGCCGCCTGCCAATTCGCCCTGTCAACGAGGACAAACTCCTGATGCCAGAAGCCCTTTAAATGAAGGGTTAGGCCCAAGACTGAACCAGAAGGAGCCCTGGTGGCAGAGCAGTTATGCATTGAGCTGTAATCACAAGGTTATCAGTTCGAAACCACCAGTCGCTCCAAGGGAAGAAGATGGGGCTTTCTACTTCCTTCAAGAGTGACCGTCTCGGAAACTCACGGGGGAAGTTCTGTGGTGCCCTGTCTTACAGGGTCACTGTGAGTCGGCATCCACTCGATGGCAGTGAGTTTTGGATTTTGTTTTGTTATGCCTTTGGCCCAAGAGTCATGGCAAAGGGCTGTGGAGGAGGCAGACAGCCGGATCTCCCTTTGCCCTGTCTGGCTGATGCCCCAAGTGTCCCAAGGCAGGGGGGTCTCTGACTTTCTAAAGCGGGGTGAGAAGTGGGGAGGAGGCAGGCAACCCTGGCCAGAGGCAAAGTTCCACAAGGGCTCCTCCAGGGAAACAGAGCCTTTGACCATGGTTGCGCCTGGCAGTTTGAGCAGTAAGCACTCGGCTAGCATTTCTGAGTTGTTGGACCATGGTTCCGCCCCCTCCCCCCACCCACTTTCCCAGAGGAGCCTGCTAAGTGATTTTGTTTCCGGGATTATGCTGTTCCTGAACACAGCCTCAGTGAGGTGATATCTGAGGAGAGAGCTTGCCTGAGGTTGGTTAAGATGCTGGCAAACTGCCTGTCCTACATCAATGGCAACCAAACGTGGTCCTTGTCGCTGAGGAACCGACCCAGGGAACCGCTCAAGATGTCCTGTGGCTTTCCTCCACCGAGCCCTGTGGCCTGTGAGGTTGTGCGATGCATGTGAGCTTGGAGATGGAAAAGGTATGCTGAGAGCTGGCTAGGATGGTATATGATTCCAGCGTGGGGCCAACTCTTGATCGAAGACTGGTGTGTAAGCAGGAACACTGCTCACAGGATGGAATGAGTAGCTCTGGGGGGCACTTTTGCTTTAGGGGACAGCCTGCTTCTCATCTGGCCTCCGGAGAACTCTGATACTCGGCACCGGGTTTTTGGCTTGTTAAGGAAAGGCTTGACTCATTGAAGAGTGTTAAAAAAAATGTTAAGCTCCTTTTTTTATGATTGGGTAATAAAATGATGCAGACGCTCAGCTAAAACAAACAAACAAAATAGAAAACACCCCGCGTTCTGTTTGGAGTAAAACCCAAGCATGTGTGAACTGGACCCCTGGTGGCCATCGGTCCTTGTTAACTTACTCTTGGGTGTCTATTTGAGCTCGCGGTAGAGGAGGTATCCCTGAAGCAGCATAGGTAGGTGAAAAGTCACGGGGCCAGTAAATAAGGTGACAAAGGGGAAGGGCGGTCAGGAAATGACGCGGGCAGCGCGTATCTTCAGTTTGGTGGGGCCCTGGTGAGGCAGTGGTCAGCATGCCTAGACCACCAGCCACTCCACAGGAGAAAGACGGGGCTTTCCACCCCCCGTCAAGAGTTCATCTCAGAAACTCACAGCAGCACGTCTACCCAGCTCTACAGAGCCATGATGACTTAGCATCGACTTGGAGGCAGTGAGCTAAGTGTTTCCGTACCAAGGTGCTTTGGCTTATCTTTGCCTCTCGCTGTCTTTTCTTGCAAAGGTCTCAGCAGAAGGGAAGCTTTGGTACCACGGCTTTGAGCACGTAGGGTGTGCGGGCGTCCTGTCTGCCATTACTAGAGCTCTGAGGGAGAGCTGGGGTCCCTGGGTAGTGTGCACTGAGAGGTTGGCACCTCGGAAGAAAGGCCTGGAGACAAGTGGGAAGGGCAGCCCTCGCAGCACAGCTCACTCTGAACCCCGTAAGGTCACCCCCAAGGTATCTGGCTCCGTGATATTGTTAAGGATCATTTGTTAGTTGCTTTCTGGCTACCGTCAGCTCACCTGCCCCTTCCTTCAACTCCGCAGATCTGCACCGGACACTCTCTCTGCCCCAGGCCCAGGGGCTTCCGTTTCCTCCATCTGTAAAACCTGGCAGCAGGGTTGGTTAGACCATCCGATCCACACCCTGGCCTGGTCTACCCTGCCCTGTTGTTTCCCAGAGTGGCCAGCAGGCGGCGAGGCAGGACCGGTGGCCGGCTGGGGCGGCCTCCGGTGGCATTGCAAAGGCTCTGCCTGGCTGGACCGCTGCCTGGACTCCTGCTAAGCCTGCGACCGTGCACTCGCCATGTGCAGGTGTTCTGTGGGGAGGAAGCTCCAACACTGGAAGCAGGGGTCTTTCGTGAGCCGGGGCCCGCTCTGGCTATGGCCCTGAGCCCTCGGGTCCCCTCACAGCCTTGCTAATGACGCAGTGGACCTGGCAGATGGCTAAGGACGTGTGGGAGGGCGTGGCTCCATGGCCTGGAGCAGGCGGGGACAGTACCCCCCCCCCCAGAGCCCTAGACCCAGGCACAGTCACAGGGGTAAGGGTGAGGCGAGGGTTCTGGGGAAAGGCGCAGGTCGGGGTGAGGGTGGGGGTGTTGGGGGGCCCTCTTATGGCTCGGCAAGATTGTCATGAGAGCCTCATTCTCTCTGGTCACCTGCTCCTGTAGGTCTGCACCACCCAGGGCAAGTGGGTCTCACTCACCCCGCCCCCGCCCCTGGGGGTGTTCAGCCCATGGGGTGCTGCAGACGACCTCTTGGGGCAGCCCCAGCCCTGTCTTTGCCTACTCTACTCTGACCTTGGGGTGGGGCGCACAGCTTCTCGGAGGAGCCCTGGTGCCACTGAGAGTTAAGGACTGATCCGCTGCTAAGCTAAAGGTAGATGGTTCGAACCTACCAGATGTGCTCCTGGGGAGAAAGACGAAATTTCCGGCGTTTGTAGAGACTGAGAGTCTCAGAAGCCCTTTAGAGCAATTTGACTCAGTCCTATAGGGTCACCAGAGGTTGGACTCTACTTGATGCCACTGGGTTTGGTGGCGCTCAGCTGCTAACCAGAAGGTTGGCAGTTCAAACCTACCAGGCCTTCGGAGGAAGTAAGATGAGGCTGTCTGCTCCCAGTAAAGACGGACAGTCTTGGAACTCCTGTGGGATTGTGGCGATTTGGAATCTCCTGCACACTGAGGGAGGTGGGGTTTATTTTAGGGCCTGGCCGGTTGGTTGTAAGGGAGGTCCCGGGCTTAGGGGTCTTCTCACTGCGCCCTGCATGGATCAGAGACAGTGGGTCAGGAGTAGCAGAACAGTTGGGTACAGGATGCAGGAAAACGTGCAAACCTGGCTGCCTGCAGAGAGTGGGGGTGGGACCTGCAGAGCATGAGAGGGCGGGGTCTGCTGAGCATGGCCTGCAGTCGGCACCCACAGCGAGAACACACAGCTCTTCACCCCTCCGCCAGCAGGCTGCTGTTGCACCCATTCATCCACTAACAGCCCCCTACCTCCCCGCTCCCAGAACGTGGAGGAGCTAGGGGCCATGGAGGAGCCCGGGCTGTACATCCTGGGCTCCTGCCTTGAGAGGGCCGGCTTGGCCTGCGGCGTGCGAGGCAAGGAGCTCAGGCTAGCCTGCCTCTGGCTGGGCACGGACCCAGAGCACCTGCGTCCTGGCAACTGCCAGGTGGGTCCCCCTTGCTAAGACCCCTGCAACATGGGAACAGAGGCAGCCATGCCCACACAGGCTCAGAGGGGCTGGGGGTTGGGGTACAGAGCGATGCTGGTCATTTTGAGGATGGGGTGTCACTTGGGTTGTACTGTCTGGGCAGTGGGGCTGTGGGGAGGCCGTGCCAAGGGACCTACTGCACCCTTCTCCCTGGGGTGGGCAGCTGCCCCTGAGGGTTGCCTTGTCCCATCTCCAGCAGGGGAACCAGGCCGCTGTCCCTCTCTTCCTGAGATATTGACTGTGCCCACGATGGCCCTGATGGGTGTGCTCAGGCTCTCAGGGACCCCTCCTAGGAGTGTGTGGGGTACTCCACTGAGGGTTAATGCCCGCCCACCCACCTCAGCTCACCATGAGCTGGGCAGTGGGGTCGTGGTGAACATGGTTGTCCCACATTACACCATCTCGGGTGACCCAGCAGACAAAAGTTGGGATATGCCAGAGGGGTCCCTGCCCCCTACCATCTCCAGAGGGCCTCATGTAGTCTCCCCCACAGCCACTTACAGTGACATGACCCATCCAGCTGTGTCCTGTGTGCCCCCCACTGCCCAGGCATGTGGAGGGGTTAACAGCACATGGCAAGCTGGCAGACAGATCCCCCTGCCAATGAAGTGGGTGTGGTGGGAGGGTGGGGTTCCTGGTGGAGGGGGCTGAGGGACAGGGTGGGAGGGGTGTGGTGAGGCAGAGCAGGCCAGGCAGCACTGGCTGCTGGTCTCTCACAGAGACAGTGACAGCTGTCCCACGGTGGTCCCCAAAGTCCAGAGGGAGTCTGACTCATATCAGAGACTCCTGGGGCTCTGTGAGACAGCATGGGAGCTGGAGGAGACCCCCACATGGGGGGTCCGGCTGGTGATGTGGTATGTGTGCGTGTGCGTGAACATGCACATGTGTATGTACTTGTGTATTTGTGTGGGGGCATGTCTGCGTATGTATGCAATATGTGTGTACACATGTGAATATGTGTGTTCAAGGATTATGTCTATGGGCACGTGCATGTGAGTGCATTTGCCTAGGTGTGTATTTGTGTGTGTGCACATGTGAAAACGTGTACATGCATTTGGGTGCACATACATGCATGTACACAAGCATGTCTGAGTAAACGTGTGTGTACATGCACCCTCATGCAGCAGTGACCGCAGGAAACCTCAAGTGGGGTTGAGGGGTGCACCCTGCAGAAGTTGGGAGGGGCTATGCCCTCCACAGACCTTGGAGTGGAGCTGAACCCCCTGCAGATATTATGGGGGATAGTATTCCAGGGGGGCAGTGTCCCCGGCAGATGTCAAGGGGGATGGGTTGTGCCCCCTGCAGACCTAGGAGGTGGACTGTGGCAGATGCCCAGTCTGGGCACAGGGCATTCTGGAGGTCCAGCCCCTGACCTTGATCTTGACCATGTTTCTTGGGTGAAAAGAAAAAGACCACTGTTGCCCACCTCTGGAGGCCATCTGCTCCTGTAAAGACCCACCGCCTTGGAGACCCTCTGGGGCAGTTCCGCTCTGTCCTACGAGGTCACTGTGAGTCAGAATCAGGCGCCCACCTGCTGGGATGGAGTGCTAGGTAAAGAACATGTGCTAGCCAGGCACATGGTGCCTCTAGCCATGTGTGCCGCCTTCTGCAGGAGGCAGCCTGTGAAGTCAGCAGGTGAGGCCCATAACCCTGCTTGCCCCCCAGCCCCGTCACACTGCTGCCCCAGCTTACCGGTGACCCCTCTCTGACCTCCACTGTGTGTTTGTGTGTGTGTGTTTAGGGGAGGCCCTGGGTATGGCAGGGGGTCAGAACTATTGCCCCCAACCCTCTTTGCTCTACTCAGGTGCACCTGCCTGACAGGCCTGCCCACTCCTTGGCCTCTCCCCGCTGGCTAGGCTGCTTAGCCTTGGTGGTGTTGCGCCCCCTTGTGGTACCACCTCTACTCGGCATCTCGGGTGCGCTGACCGGGATGCGGGCACACAGCACACCAGGACGGGCTGGGTTCCATTCACGCGTTTTATTTTCTGAAATTGACAATCGCGGCGACTTGCACCCCACTCTGGCAGCCCCCCTGCCCCCTGTGCACCAGGGCCGGGTCTCTGCCCAGCGACTTTGCACACCCGGGCACCGGACGAAATGGGGTGAGAGGACGGGCTTTGGCGAGGGCTTGGGGCCTCATCCCAAGGGGTGCTAACTTACAGAGCCCTTGGTAGACAGAGTGGGGGCCGGCCCCAAGGCACAAGGCCTCCTTCGGGCAACAATGCTGGCTGTGCCGTCACAGGAGTCCTGGCTGCAGGCCTGGGGTCGGGGTGCCCCCTTCTCAGCCCACCCTCCACGTGACAGGGGCACGGGGCACGGACGCTTTAAATGCCAAGGCGTTTTCTCACTGTCCATGTGTTCCCTGGCACAGGGCCTTCTTAAATACATCACAGGAATTTTCTTAAATAAAAACGGGGCAGGAACCCACCCGAGCTAGCCTGGAGGCTCCTCGGGGGCCGGGTCTGTACAGTATGTCCCCGAGGCCCCAGCTGGCCCCACAGGTCACATCCACCCGGGCGCCAGAGCAAGAGGGACAGGGTCATCGGAAAAACAACTTGGACACTCAGCAAGCCAGACAAAAAAGGGCCACCAGGGGAAAAAAAAAAAAAAAGGTTCATAAAATCTACATTTAAAAAAGAATATTCAACTGCATTGGAAATTTGCCTTTGAGTATGTTTTTTTTTTTTTTTTTTTTTTTTTTTTTTCCCTTTTCTGCGAAACACTGCGAAATTTCGCCCAGAAGAACGGAACAGAACAAAACAAAGGCGGACCTCAGAGAAGAGAAACCAGGTGTCACTTATAAAACGTCAGACAAGTAGAAGAGCTGGGCCCCCTCCCCCCCGACGGCCTGGGTTGGAAGAATGGTCCCGTTTTTTGTCATGTTGGTTTTTGCTGCATATTGTGAAGGTGTGCACGAGGAGCGGAGTGCGGGCTGGGGCCGGCCTCAAACCCTGGCTCTGGAGGCCGTGGGCCCTGAGCAAGGTGGGGTGGTGCACACTTGTGTGAGTGTGTATGTGTGTGTGTGTGTGTGTGTGTGTGTGGCGCGCCAGGAGGGCGAAGGACCCTTCCTCAGGGCCCCTCTCCCGGTCAGCTGCGAGATAGCCAGTCTGGAATGCAGGCTGGAGCCAGCAGCTTGTCATCAGTAGTCTGGATGCTGGCTGGCCCAGGATGAGCCGCCCACAGCAGGGAACATCTCCAAAGGGTGCGTGTGTGTGTGTGTGTGTGTGTGTGTGTGTGTGTGTGTGTGTGTCTCCCCAGCCGGCATCCCTCCCGCCGTCGGTCCAGGAGGACAGCCAGGGCCTGGGTCCGGCAGGCCGGCAGCCCTCAGCAGAGCCCGATGTATTTGAGGTTGTTCTGGATGATGACGTCGGTCACGGCGTCGAACACGAACTGGATGTTGCTGGTATCTGTGGCGCAGGTGAAGTGGGAGTAGATCTCCTTGGTCTCCTTGTTGCGGTTCAGGTCCTCGAACTGCCGCTGGATGTAGACGGCCGCCTCCTCGTAGGTGTTCTGCCCGCGGTACTCTGGGAAGCAGACGGTGAGCGGGATGCGGCGGATCTTCTCTGCCAGCAAGTCCTTCTTGTTGAGGAAGAGGATGAGGGACGTGCTGGTGAACCAGTTGTTGTTGCAGATGGAGTCGAAGAGGCGCAGGCTCTCAGCCATCCGGCTCTGTGGGGAGAGGCCACGTCACTCAGGCAGGAGGGACCCACCGGGCCTGACGCCCCGCACGGACGCAGAGATCCCCGCCCTGCCTCCTGCAGGCTCAGGAGCCCTGGACTGACTGGACACCCCCCTCCCTGCCCCCAGAGCTGTTTGTGCTGGTAGAGGCTGGGGGGTGGGGGTGAGCTAGACACCTACCTCTCTCTCTCTCTCTGGCTGCTGCTGAGCCCTGCATCCCTCCCCTCCAGGGCCTGGCCACTGCCAACCACACTCCTGGGGCTCTCAGGCTGTGGTCACACCTGGCAGTGCACAGTCCCCCATCCTCCAGGACTTGACCCCCGTCAGCCATACCCCGCCACCCAGACCAACACCATTTGGCCGCCCAAGCCCCACCCACCCAGGAAGGTTCCTGTGGGTAGGTGCAGCCTGGTGGGTTTGTCCCGGTTTTCCTCTTGTCCTGGCCGGGCCCCTCTGTCCTCAGCCCCAGCCTGGGAGGGGTGCCTACTGTGCCCAGGTACCGCTCCCCTACCCCCATGGGTGCGTCTGCTCCTGCTTTCAGGGCTCTCGGCCCAGGTCGGGGTCACGTGATTCCACTGCCGGGGTGTGTGTGTGGGGGGGAGACCCAGCCAGGGCGCCAGCCACACATGGACTTCAAGGACAACATGCAGCTTACCAGGCAGCAGTGCCCACCCCGGACAGCAAGGCTCCTTCTCCACCACCACCACCCAGAGGGCAGGCTCCTCCCCGACCCAGAGGGCATGGCCCCAAGTCCGTAATTTGGGACCCAGCCTTTCTTTACCCTTGTTCCTTCTCAGGACCTCAAAGCTGAGTGGATTCTGCCTCACAGCAACTCTACAGGGCTTCTGACGTCTGTAATTTTCCTGGGAACAGGCAGTCCCATCTTTCTTCTGAGAAGCAGCTGGTGGATTTGAACTGCTGACCTTGGGTTGGGTTAGCAGCCCAATGCTTCACCCCCTGCAGCACCTCCTAGGGCCTTACGTTTGCGTATGCTTTTTATACCGAGTGGTAAAGATACCAGACATCCTCACAAGCGGGCCAATCAGCGGCATCGCCGTAAGCGGTGAAGGAACCGGAGCTGCCGACAAGTTCTTTCTGCTGGGATCAACTGTCTTGACCACGGAGGCGGCAGTCCAGACACCAATGCCAGTGCCCTGGGCAAATTTGTTGCAAAAACGTGCCAGGGCCTGCTCAACGGGCAAACAGATCTGTCTTGGAAGAAGTACGGCCAGAGTGCTCCTCAGAGGCAGGGATGGCCAGACTTCGTCCCAGGGACTCTGGACGTGTCCTCAGGAGAGACCAGATCCGGGAGAAGGATTCGGCGCTTGGTCAAGTGGAGGGGCAGCGACGGAGAGGAAGACCCTCCGGGAGAAGGGCTGACACCGCAGCCGCGGCCATGGCAGCCGGCATGGGAATGGTCGTGAGGAGGGCGTGGGGGCGGGCGGTGTTCTGTTCTCTTGTGCACAGGGTTGTGACGGTTCGGAACTGACCCGATGGCACCTAACAGCAACAATATGCTAAAAGTAGCAAAGGTGCCACCCGGAGGTCTAAGGTGCACTTGGCCCAAGCCATGGTCTTTCCACTGGTTCTTGCGCTGGGGCAATGGCTACAGAAAACCAGAGAGGAACCGAGCCTTCTGATTTCTGTGTGTGCAGGCGAGGAGTGCAGTGTGCTGTGGACTGCCACCCGATCAAACAGATCATCGTGTACACGGTCCGAGGGGCCTTCAAAAAGTTCATGGGACCTCCCACTCTCTTGTATTTTCCCCCACCTTCCTCCTCCTGTAAGGAGCTACCGTCTCGGAAACCCACAGGGGCAGTTTTACCTTGTCCCTCGGCGTCAGCACTGACTCGATGGCAGTGAGGTGTTGGCTAGGTTGATCCCTTAAATGCTGCCCCCTCCCAGTCCCAGGGAGGCGGAGCTGCCATGTGCAAAGGCAGGGCAGGGGCTGGCCAGGTAGGGCAGGAGACCTCACACGGGGGTGCTCTGGTGGAGCAGCGAGTGTCTAGGCCATCTGGTTCTGCTCGAGGTGGGGGCTGATCTTCCTGGGGCCATACGTACCATGGGCCAGCCCGGGCTCTGTGTACAGAGGTCTGGTCACCCCCACTGCTGGCCCCAGCCTGGCCGGTGGCTGTTCCTGCACATGTGGGACCCGCCTGGCCACAGCTCCATCATCTTATGCCTCCAACCCTGCCTGTGGCAGCTCCAGTGTTGACCACCCCACAGCGACAGATGGGGACTGGCGGGGGCCGTTCTGAGGTGCCCCCAGCCCCGCCCCATGTCCAGTGTTAACTGTGCTCTCGGGCTGCCATTTCAAACAGCAAAGGCTGTTTGAACAAGATAACAGGCTGCTCCCTGTGCCACATCGGCCCCCACAGCTGGACCCACTTCGGCTCTAGGGGAGCCACTTCCTGCAGGCGCTGTGGGGCCAGCCCAGGAGGAACCGCTCTCCCCCACCCCCGGCTCTTCTGTTGGTCCCTGGTTCTCCTGGGGGTGCCCTGGCAGAAGATGGAGAACCTTAAGCACCCTATGTCCTGGGCAGGGGCAGTGGGGTCCTCCTGAGGGTGGGGGGACTTCAGGAGGAAGGGCTTTGTTCCCTGGCAGACTGGGAACCAGCTTTGGCCTCAGAGCGTGGGCAGATGCGTGCACACGGCCGCCAAGGTGCCCAGCCAGCCTGTCGCGCTGTCTTTGCCTGTCTCCGGTGCCTGGGAGAGCGGGGCTGCACTCAGTTCCTGCTGTCCCCTGTGCCCAGCCCTGGGCTGGGACGTGTGTGGCCTCACAGGCCCTCGGCACATGTCACGAGGTATCATCTCGGTGGGCGCATGCTGAGTCCGCTCTACCTCTGGGAGGGCTTGGGCCACTGTGGTGGGGTCATGGGTGCCCCAGGTGGATCCCTCACCTGGGGGGCTGGGGGCACCCCAGACTTGGTCACCTGTGGGGGGGCGAGGACTGCCCTGGCCCCGATCTGCTCACCTTGGATGGCTGTGCAGACCTGGCTCTAGAACCCCCAGGCTGCCCCTGACCGGGCGGCAGAAGCTCACAAGCAGCTGGAAGAGACACAGGCTGGGCAGGACAGTGAGACTCCTTGCTCATACCCCCACAGAGAGCACCCATCTGAAACGCACCCTGGCCTCTCGGTCCTACCACACCTGCCCACCAACAAGCCACCAGAGTGCCTCTAGAAGGCCATACTCCCATCCCTCAAGAGCTATTGGGGATGCCAGGCTGCCCCTTGTCCACCCCGACAGGACCTGGCCTCCCTCCTGGACACTGGGGGCACGCTGCACCCGCGACAGGCTTGCTGTGGGGACACTGGCTCCATGTCCTCCTGTCCTGGGGGTGCTGGCGGGAGTTTCTGAGAGGCAGGGATTTGATAGAGGACAAACAGGTCGGCGTCCCACACCTGGCACTGACCCAGACAGGGCCCCCTGTTTCTTGAGAGGCTGGACGATCTGCCCAAGCCCCTCAGGGTCTGCATGTCAAAGCCCCGTTCCTCCGCGGAAACCTGGCCAGACAACACCATCCTCATGTCCTAGCGCCACCTGCTTTCCTGCGGCTGGGGGACCCTGAGCTAGACCTCAGCTGTATCATCCCACCTGTCACTACCCCTCTTGAGGTCTTATGGCTTGTGGGACTGGGAGGGAGGCCGTGTGGGGCTAGGAGGGGGGCCATGTGGCTGGAGGGCTATAGGTCTCCTGAGCTAGGACCTCCCCTGAGCTGTTGGGGTCACTGCTGGCCAGCAAAAGGTACAGGGCTTGGTCCTGGTTTGGCCTCAGGCATCAGGCTGATGGTCAGGGCTGTGCCCCCCACTCACCGTGTTGGGGCTCCCAAGAGCCGAGGGGTCCCCCTGCCTGACAGGCCTTCCATCCCTGCATAAACCCATGGCCCTGGGGAGCCCGGCGACTATAGCACAGCGTTCCTGCCCTGTTAGCCGGACTCTGGTGCCTACAGGCCCGCTTCCCTCCTCCACCCCAACACTGTCCTCAGCCTGTCCTTGGTGCTGGCCAAGCCAGTCGTGGGACGGCTAGGGTGAACGTTCCCCCCTCCTCCCCTCCCAGCAGCAAAGCCTCCAGGGCCCTCACCCCACCTGCAGTCGGCTCTCCATAACGGGGGAGATTGTTCTCTGGGTCTCAGATTACACAAATCCCTTGAAACAATCCTAATCTGTGTCTTAGAGCCCGCTGTTGGGCTGCGTGTGCAGGGGCAGAGGGAATGTGCTCTGGAAAGAGCGACCCCACCAATCCGGGCCGCCGTGGGGCTGGGGTGCCTGGCGTCCACACTTACAGGGGGCCGGGGGGTGAGGGGCAGCACCGTGGTCCAGAGTGACAGGTTACATGGCGGGAGGGGGGGTGAGGGGGCAGCCACAGGACTGACTGCAGTCCACAGGCCCCAGTTCCAGCTCCCCACTGCCCTCCCCCTGGGGCATGGGCCACCAGAATCTCCACTGAGGGGCCCTGCTGGCATAGTGGTTACACGTGGGGGTTGCTCACCACAAGGTTTGAAACCATGAGAGGAAGGCAGGGCCTTCCACCCCAGTTAAGAATCAGTCTCAGAAACCCACAGGGGCAGTTCTACCCTGCCCCGGAGGATCACCCTGAGTCGGCATCCACTGGATGGCAGTGCTTTCAGTCCCTGAAAACCCCGACCTCAGCCCGCCCGACCTCAGCCCGCCCATTCACGGCAGGCATCCCTGAGACACAGGCTGTCTAGGTGTCCAGTAGCACGTGGCCCTGGCACTCCCCATGCCTCCCCCCCCCATATCCTGCACACCACGCACCTCACCTGGCCTGTGCCCCGCCACACGGCACAGACAGCCCCCATGGTGTCCCTGTGTCCCCCGACTCCACACAGAACACCCTACAGCCCCCAAAGCTCCCCCTCCCAACAAGCCCTCGCTGTCCTACCAGCTGGACTTTGGCACAGAGGGCCCTTCCAGCTCCTCGGGGTCAGGACCGGTAGCCCCGCTGGCTGGGCGTGGACTCAGCAGGGTCCTTCAGGTCAGGCCTGCGTAGGCTGGGCTGTCAGGGTAGGGCAGGAGATGGTGCTGGGGCAGTCCACTGGCCCACCCTCCCGGCCAGGAGAGGTGAACAAAGGGTGCACCCCAGTGAGCGCTGCTCCTCAGACGGAGCCTGTAGGGAAGGGCAGAGCGAGCTCCAGGGACAAATGTGGGACCAGGTGGCAGGAGGCTGGTGGCGGCTCACCACTCATTGAGCCCAGCCCCGCGGGTCCCTCGGCCAAAGCTCGGGCTCACAGTGGCCAACTAGCAAATGCCCCGTAACTGACTGGGCACAGGGAGTGCCTGCTTGCATCCGTGGTGTAATCATGAACTGGAGCTACCAACATGTCATCTGAAACAAAACCAGCCCCCCTCCCAAAAAAAAACAAAAACAAAAACAGAAACAAAAAAAACTCACTGCCCTCTAATCAACGCCAACTGACAACAAGCAACCCTACAGGACCGGGCAGAACTGCCCCTGTGGGGTTTGGGGTTTCCAAGTCTGCAAAGCTTTACGGAAGTAGAAAGCCCCCGTGTCTTTCTCCCACAGACAGGCTGTGGCTTCGAACTGCTGACCTTGTGGTTAGCCCAACTGGTCACCCACGACGCCACCAGGGGCCTGTGACGCCGTGTCACACAGTTGCCAAATTCCCTGAGACACGGGCCAAGCGGACATCAATGTTGAATAAGTCCATGACGGCGGGCAAGGGTCATCGTGTGTCCGAAACAAACACCAAGCCATGAAGGAACACAGAGGGCTGTCAAACTGGAGCTAAGGCATCGACAACAGAGCCGAGACAAACCAGCGCTAGAAGAAACTCAACCGGAATGCTCCTGAGA